ATCAACTGAGTTCCCGTGTACTCTAAATGTTGTTAGTTGATCAATAGAGTAACCAGTGGACTCTGAAGAGATTAATTATTATTAAAAGAGACTAACCATTATTAATAAGTACAATAAGGGATACAATTAAGTACAATAAGATATATATATATATATATATATATATATATATATATATATATATATATATATATATATATATATATATATATATATATATATATATATATATATATATATATATATATATATATATATATACACACACACACACACACACATATAATATTAAATAGTGATACAAAATATCTCAATTGATATTTTGCTTTCTAGTACCAATTGATCAATTATTAATGTTATCAAAATATCTCTTATTGTACTTATTAATAATGGTCAGTCTCTTTTAATAATAATTAATTTCTTCAGAGTTCACTGGTTACTCTATTGGTCTCAACTAACAACATTTAGAGTACACGGGAACTCAGTTGATCTCAATTGACACTCAATTGAGCATTTAAGAGAATATGGGATATTACAATGATGTTAAAGTTTAATACTTTATTTTAGAAGTTCAATTTGAAGTTGCTATCATGTTGATTTCCAATGCATATTGTAAAATATTTTTAAAAGTTTTGTTGGCAGGGTGTTACATGATGGTATTAGAGCAGGTCGGTCCATTCGGACAATTTTTGTAATGTTGTTTGTTCCCTGGTAGGCGACAAGTGTGTGAACATTGTCGATGTAATGTTTCTTCTAATAACTATTTGTTGGTGTGCATATATATGGCTGGAGGTATAAACGACCAAGTTATTGTTGATGCTTTGGAGGCGATGGCTCAGGCCCTGCAGGGTTAGCAGAATCAGGCAGGCGGTGAATTATGTGGATTGAGGAAGTTTCAGAGAAATAATCTTCCGACCTCAAAAGGAAGATATCATCCTTAAGGGGCACAAGCATGGCTCAGAGAGATTGAGAAGATTTTTCAAGTGATGGCATGAATGGATGAATAGAAGGTGTTGTTTGACACATATATGATGTCGGGGGAGGCCGAAGAATGGTGGGACAACACGCATCAGAAAATGGAAGATGAAGGTACTAAGGTTACTTGGGTTGTGTTCAGAACTAATTTTCTAGAGAAGTACATCCCAGAGGACGTGTGCAGTAAGAAAGAGATCGAGTTCCTGCGGAAGAAACAAGGGAATTCGATAATTGTTGAGTATGTTGTTGAGTTCAAAGAGCTAGTGAAATTTTCTCTATACTATGATAGTGCGACAACTGAAGGATCAAAATGTATCAAGTTCGAAAGCGGTCTATGACCAGAGATCAAGCAAGGTATTGGGTATCAAGAGATTCACTAATTTTATGTGTTAGTCAATAAGTGCAGGTATATGATGAGAATATCAAGACCCGATCTACTCACTATAAGAGTATTAGTGAGAAGAAAGGGAAGGATCAGAACTGTGGGAAATCATATAGTGCTCCAGCTGACAAAGAGAAGCAGAAAGCTTTAGGTGAGAAAATGCCAAGTGGGAGAGAAACTCCTGCTTCTATCAAGTGTTACAAGTGTGGTGTTATGGGTCATCGTGCAAACGAATGTACAAGTTTTGAGAAGAAATGCTACAAATGTGTAAAGACAAGACACCTAATTGTTGATTGTAAGAGTAATGTCATAAATTGCTACAACTGTGAAGAGTAAGGCCATAGTCGTACTAATTGCAAGAAGCCAAAGAAGGACCAGTCTCAAGGGAAGGTTTTTTCTTTGTCAGGATCAAAACCTACCAGTTTTGATATATTGATTTGAGGTACGTGTTTTATCAATGGTATTTCTATGATTGCTATTATTGACACATGTGCAATACATTCTTTTATTTCACTTGATTTTGCGAAGCGGTTAGATTTAAAGTTGTCATCTATTGTTGGGAGTATGATTATTAATACCCCAATTCATGGTTTGGTGACTACTTTGTGGGTGTGTTTGAATTGTCTGTTGATTATTTATGGTAAGAGTTTTGGGATATACTTATTTTATCTACCATTGGATTAACTTGATGTCATCCTTAGGATGAACTGGTTGGAGTTCAACCATGTTCATATCAACCTCCTCGACAAGACTGTAATGTTCCCTAAGATTGGAGAAACTGGAGAGTTGATGTTTATATCTGCTAAGCAAGTAGAAGAATTATTGAAGGATGAGGCTCATGTGTTTGCGATGTTTTCTTCTTTGAGAATCGACAATAAAGCTGAAATTGTTGAGCTGCTTGTTGTGCGTAATTTTCCAGAGGTGTTTCCAAACAATATCAGTGAGTTACCTCCAGAACAAATGGTGGAATTCGATATAGACTCAGTACCTAGTACTATTACTATGTCGATGTCTCTTTGCGAAATGTCTGCTTGAGAACTGAGTGAGCCGAAGAAACAATTGGAAGAGTTTCTTGAGAAAAAGTTTGTTCGGTCAAGTGTTTCATCGTGGGGAGCGTCAGTGTTATTATTCAAGAAGAAAGATGGTAGTATGACGTTGTGTGTTGATTATATACAATTGAATGAAGTGACTATAAAAAACAAGTATCCTCTCCCGAGAATTGAAGATTTTATGGATTAAATGGTTGGTGCTTGTGTATTCAGTAAGATTAATTTGCGGTCGGTTTATCATCAGATTCGAGTAAAACCATAAGATATTCTGAAGACTGCATTCATAATGAGATATGGTCACTATGAGTACTCTCTGATGCAGTTTGGTGTGTCTAATGTGTCAGTTGTGTTTATTGAATATATGAATATGATTTTTCATCCTTATCTAAATTAGTTTGTGGTTGTATTCATTGACGATATTTTAGGTGTGCTTGTGAGTTACCTTAGTACTTATAAACTACTTCCTTACTTTTGCAATACTCGGGTCACTCATGCATACAAACAAACATGACCTGGCGAGCTTTCACACATTATCTTAGACTTCAAGATTTTTTGTTGGATTGCTTCTGATTATATAAATATTTTGATCTTGAATCTCTTTTTGTGGATGAGGCATGAAATGATTCTTTAGATAAATCACCACTCAAGGTTGAAAGCTATTGCGATCGATTTTACTTATCGTCGTCGTCATCAAAACATCAAAGAGGATATTTTGCAAGATTGTGATCTTTATACCCACAAACACATAGATCCACACCTGCCCCAAATATTTATATGGAAAAGCTATTTTGTTGATGCATTCATGTTAAAGTTGAAAATGGACCAAGCATTCATGTTTTATCTCTCATGCCTGTATTAAGAAATTACTAAACTTAAAAGACATATGCCACTAGTCACTTGTTTTATCTTGTGATGAAATGAAAAGACAAATGTTAGATTTATGGTAAATTTATGCTTCCTATATAGGTTCTGGAACCTTCTACTTTAGCAACAAATATTTAACATGTATCTTACTTTTTTCTCTCCTTGTCACATTGCTTCTTTTTTCATAAATATCATTGTTTCTTGGGCTTAAATGGATAAGTTAGGATCCCCCTCAATCGTCTTCTACATGTCAGCTTAAGTCTAGAAGCATGATTGCTTGTCTCTAAACCTCTAATGATAGGTTTCTTAGGAACTATCTTTGTTATGATGACTTCGATAACTCCTTGATTACTTGTACTTCTAGATCGCGAGTTTCTGTAACATCTTTTATAACCTTTGCAAGTGTCCTTGACCTTTTTTTGCAATCACGTTTGAAATTTTGTTGTTTTCTTCTTCTCTGATTACTTAATCATCTTCGATTAGTAAGTTTTTCTTACTCCATTGTTCTTTGTATTTACTTGCTTTTAGCCTTTGTAGTATGGTGGTAGTTTAGGGAGAGTCGTGAATGTGTAAGGTATCTCCCTTCGCATCACACTTTCTTCTTTGTGTGTTTAGATGCAACACATCATGCTATCAAGTACCCACATTGACCTTATTTTAAATTAGGAGACATGCATCTCTTTCTACTAGTAAATGATACATATTTAAGGATACATTCAGTATACTCTAATTCAAAGGAACCAGGGAACTACAATGTCATTGCTAAAGTATGAGGCCCTCTTAATGCTAGGAAGATGACCATCCCTTCATTTATAGATAAAGTATGTCAAAATTCACTCATCTTTTCACATGTTCGATGTTGTTTTTCGAGAAATAGATTTTCTCTTGCCATTCACCACTTTTGAGCAAAAATTTATTTGTAATTGCGCCCCAACTATTGGACATTTATTTGAGCATTTCAATATGTGTGTCAGTATCTGAATTGAGAAGCCAAATTCTTCTTTCATGCCTTTCAATTTGACGAAAAGGTTCTTTTTTTCTTTCTAGTCTGATTCACTTTAAATCGTCTCTCAAATTGTTTGAGACTTTAAATTAATCTTTAAAAAACTTTAAATTTTGTTGTGTGGCGGTCGAGCTAAGGACAGTCAAGATCCGCTCCAAATATATATAATTGTGAGGGAGTGCTTAAATTTAACATGTGATCTTTATCTTTCTCAATATTAAAGTTAGAAATATCCTTTCTAAAACTTTTAAATTTTAAAAAAAATTCTCAAATGTTGGAGTCAGAAACATCCTTCATAAAACTTTTGAATTTAAAAAAAATTCATTTCATTCATATAATCATATTTAACTACTTTAATTAAACTTGTGTTCTCCTAGACTATTTTTAACAAACAATTTATATAATTGTTAGATGTAAACAAATATACAAAATCTATCAACTTAATTCACACTATCAAAATGTTAAATGTTAAATGAATATATCTTCACCTAAATTACTTTTAGGTGTGCACAATAAACAAATATTAAACTAAATTGACAAATTTTCATATTATACATTAAAAATTAAATCGATAGACGTTAGAGCGCCGCCGTAAAAGAAAGCGCCACCGTGGTTCTGTATTTCTACCGAGTTCGGCGACTCTGATACAATTGCATCATTCTCTATAACGACCCAAATCCATGTTTCTCAATTAGGGTTAGTTTTCTAACTCAAATTTCTTACCTTAATGTTGACATCACTCAAATTCTCAATTCATATCAGTAGAACTCTTCTAGTTTCCATCAAAATCCCATCTTTTCCACTATGCACAACAACATCACTTGGAAAAACCGATGAAACAGAAAGTGACACAGAATGGGAAAAACTGCTCAAACCATTTGACCTGAAACAGCTTCAAAGATCACTGAATCCAATTACCCCATCTCAGCTTTGTAAATTATTGGAACTCCCTCTTGATATTCCCACTTCAATGGAGTTGTTTGGGAAAGCTGCTTCACAGAGAGGGTATTGTCACTCTTTTCATGTTTATTATCTTTTAATTGATAAGCTTGGTGATGCTGGTGAGTTTAAGATTATAGATAAATTGTTGAAACAAATGAAAGAAGAAGGTGTTGTGTTTAAAGAATCGATTTTTATTTTGATTATGAGGTATTATGGGAAAGCTGGCTTACCTGGTCAAGCAACTAGGGTTTTGTTGGATATGTGGAATGTTTATTGTTTTGAACCGACGTTTAAATCGTATAATGTTGTGTTGGAGATCCTTGTTGCTGGAAATTGTCCTAAGGTTGTGCCTAATGTTTTTTATGATATGTTAAGTAGAGGGATTTCGCCGACGGTTCATACTTTTGGTGTGGTTATGAAAGGCTTTTGTATGGTTAATGAGGTTGATTCGGCTAGTTCGCTTTTAAGGGATATGACAAAGCATGGTTGTGTTCCGAATTCGGTTATTTATCAGACGTTGATTCATGCACTTTCGGAGAACAATAGAGTGAATGAAGCGATGAAGTTGCTTGAGGAAATGTTTTTGATGGGTTGTGAGCCTGATGTTCAGACGTTCAATGATGTTATTCATGGACTTTGTAAAGCCAGTCGGATTCATGAGGCGGCGAAGTTGCTTGATCGAATGCTTCTTCGAGGTTTCACTGCTGATGCTCTAATTTACGGGTATTTGATGCATGGTTTGTGTAGGATGGGGCAAGTTGATGAAGCAAGGGCGTTGTTAAGCAAAATTCCTAACCCTAATACTGTGCTTTATAACACTTTGATTAATGGTTATGTTGCTTGTGGAAGGTTTGAAGAAGCCAGGAATCTTTTGTACAATAACATGGTAATTTCCGGGTTTGAGCCTGATGCGTTCACGTTTAACATAATGATCGATGGACTTTGCAAGAAGGGGCATTTGGTCTCTGCTTTTGAATTCTTAAATGAGATGGTAGAGAAAGGTTTTGATCCCAATGTGATCACTTACACTATATTGATAAATGGTTTCTGTAAGCAGGGCCGGTTCGAGGAAGCTTTTGAAGTTGTGAATAGCATGTCATCCAAGGGTGTTAGTCTGAATACTGTCGGCTACAATTGCTTGATCGGTGCTCTTTGTAAAGACGGGAAGATTCAAGATGCCTTGCAGATGTATAATGAAATGTCAAGCAAAGGATGTAAACCCGACATTTACACATTCAATTCTTTAATATATGGACTGTGCCAGAACGATAAGATGGAAGAAGCGTTGGGTTTGTATCGTGACATGTTCTTGGAGGGTGTTATTGCCAACACTGTAACGTACAATACGTTGATTCATGCATTTCTTAGGGGTGATTCAATTCAACAAGCGTATAAGCTTGTTGATGAAATGCTATTTAGAGGGTGTCCCCTCGATAATATTACGTATAACGGCCTTATTAAAGCTCTTTGTAAAACCGGGGCAATCGAGGAAGGTTTGGGATTGCTCGAAGAAATGCTTGGGAAAGGGATTTTTCCAAGTATTAACTCTTGTAATATTCTGATCAATTCCTTCTGTAGAACTGGAAAAGTAAATGACGCTCTGCAGTTTCTTCGAGATATGATTCATCGTGGCCTGACACCAGATATAGTTACTTATAACTCCCTGATTAACGGTCTTTGCAAGATCGGCCGCGTTCAGGAGGCTTTGAACCTTTTTAACGGGCTTCAAGCCGAAGGAATTCGTCCCGATGTGGTTACATACAACACATTGATCAGTAGGTACTGCTATGAGGGTTTATTTAATGATGCATGTCGGCTTTTGTACAAAGGTGTGGATAACGGTTTCATACCTAATGAAATCACTTGGTCAATATTGATAAATTATTTCGTAAAAAAGTATCAAAGGGAGTAAATACCTTGCTCAAGGTTTACCATGACCGTTTTCATGGTATGCTTCAGGTTTCAAAGATGGTGAATGTACATTAGTTGTCCATGTGGCTCTTTAATGTGCCAAACCTGAAAAATATCGGTGATACGAATAACTCATTGTCATTGCCATTTTCTGCTTCAAACTGTGTTGGTACCATGGCTACTGATTTTCCCAGAAAATCAAACATGGCAACTTCAATTCGTGTGGATGAATCTGGATTCTTGCAGTCTTCTGAAAATATGGAACCTTCGTCAGGGTAACAATATAGCTATTTTATAGTTCAAATTCAAACCTAAAGATTGTCTTCTCTAATCAACTGTTTATTGAAGTTCTCTGATAGATTTAGATGTTGTTTTTACAGGCTGCTGCTTCGACCAACCAGAGAAGTAGATGCACGTATTTCTGATTGTCCTAACTTGCCGCCACATCTTATATGCAAGCGGCTAAAGTATCTCAATGCAACTATGCATGTAAGAATAAATTTAATAGTTTGTATTTAATCTACTAAAAATAATATTTATATGAACTATACTCTGAACATGATTAAGCATGCAATTTGCAGGCAGATGCTAAACAGATGATACCAGTATGAAGGATTTTCTGTTCCTTGAAGGGCAGCTGAAACAGTCTTTCATTCGCTTGTAGGTCATATTGACTTCGTAATTAGCTTGTCAGATTTTCTCTCCGAACACGTTACACCGATCACATAATAGATCAAGGCATTAAATAGGTGAAAAATGTGGACTTGATATTGGTCTAATATGATTAAAGATTGTAATTCAATTGTATGGTTTTCTGCCTAAGCTGAACTTGGCCATAGTTCAGGTTAAGGTTATGAGTTGAACTATCCCTAGGAAGCACTTCTTGTGGCCATAACAGAGGGGAATGTATTGGATATCTGAGTTGGGAGTTGTATCCTCACCATATGACACTTCTAAAAATAGTGTCCGTGTTGATGTTGGACATATGCACCAACACTTATGAAAATTTATCTTTTAAAATTATTATCGTTGTCAACATGTCAGTATCGAGATCGTGTTCGGTGTGTCCGTGCTTTATAGTTCCTTATCTCTCTAATGTTAGGAGAAAAAGATACAACCAACAAATTATATTTTTGTTTGTAGGGTTTATAAAAGTTGCTTGTGACAGTCTCTTCAAACGTGAGGGAGAAATGAGAACGTCTAGATTTGTAACTCATTTAAGATCATCCTCAATTGTAGCTTTTCTATTTGGATTCTTAAGTGAATTTCATTGTTAAAGTTCAAAAACACTTATTTATTTTGATTGAAATCTATATTTTGAGATGTATTGATCAAAATAAAATAATATTATTTATATTATTTAAAATATAATAAAAATATATACAATTATATTATTTATAAAAAAAATTAATTAAATTTAACCTATAACATAATACATGTTAAAGTGTGATTTTGTATTTATTGTTTAGATGAAATATTTTTTTAGAATATATTCATTTGTAATACTTTTGAGAAGAAACATATATGTCATATAAAAGTTAGAAATATTGTCTCTAATTTTTAAAACAAAAGATATTCTTACACTATATCATACATCTTATTTACCTATTTTTCGATAAACAATGAAATATTATAATATTAAATATTTTTAAAAAATATATAATTTTTTTAAAAAAAATTAAATAATATTGATATAAAATTGTTTGAGTAACTAACTTCAAAACATCATTAACCAACATTTTATATGTTATTAATCAACTTTGTTTTCTGCTAAGAAATATTTTTAATATCTGAACGTTTATCAATCAATTTTATAATTTTATTAACCAATTTTGTTTTACTACTAAAAATTATTTTTAATATTTGGGCGTTTATTAATCAACTTTATCACTTCATTAACCAACTTTTCATATTTTGGTAACCGACTTTGTTTTACTACTTAAAGACATTGTTCATCGCCACTACTCACATAGCTTGTTCATGACATTGTTCATGTATTGTTCATAAATATTTTTAATTTTAAAATAATTATACTGTTCACCGTATTTTGTAAGGGTGTATCATTTTGGTGTATGAGTAATGATCGTACTTGACCAGAGAGATCGCTAGGCTGCCACGCGTCTGAGCTGTCGAACGGTAGACTTGATGGACAGAGGGGGGTGTACCTGAAACACACTCCGATGTCAAAGTAAGTGACAGGCAGAGCGATTACAAGTACAGAAAAAGGAGTAAGAATTGATTGCCTGACCCTCTGGTGGAAGAGGGTATTTATAATGAGTCCCCGGCGCAGGGCCAACGGTTACCATGCGTTGGGTTGGGCTGCCAGGCCCAACTTTGGTAATTGCTAGGGCTGACGTGGCGTCGTGAAGACTAACACGTGGTCTTCTCCCTAATGTAATTGTCCTGTGCTATCTAGGAGGTGGAGGACCGAATCATCAGGACACATGTAGTTACTTGATGACGTGTCTCCACATAGGGGACACGTAGAGAACGTGGGGAAGGCCTGAGGAGCTTCCCAGGCTGGCTGGACTCTGCCCGACCGTGGGGCAGAAGAAGGCTGGTCGGAAATCCATGAAGGTTCTGCACGACGACTGTTGGTCTGTGTCCGACGGGAGAAGATGTTCTGCCCGACGGACCTTCTACTGTTAATTGACGAGGTCTTATTGGGCCTCATAACTCGATAGGGCTTGGGTCTGCTCGTCTATGGGCCAGACGTCAACCCAGTCCAGAACAAGTAACATTACTGTTTTTAAAAATACAATAGCAACCAAGCTTTTATTCTACTAAGTAGCGTTGTTTATATGATTTAGCTTTCATAATAATGTTCTATCAAGAATTATATTTTTATCATAATAGTCAATCTCAAGAACTTTTTAAATAATTTCTTATAGTTTTTCTAAGTCTTTCTTTACCTCTAGTTATTTGACTTCTTTCTATCTAATTTAATGTCCTTACCACGTAGTCTACACTTTATCTCTTTACATATTCAAATCATTTAAGTCTATTATCCACAATCTTTTATTATAGGTGATATTGCAACACTCTCTCTAATATTGTCATTTATAATATTATTATGTCTAATTTTATCACACATCCAACGCATAAAATCCCTGAAGTCGTCCTTCATTTCATACACCCAACTGAAATTTGATGGCTTTCCTTCTTTTCTATTTCTCCATTATTTTGTATTACGGACCCAAGATATTTAAACAACATGACTTGTGGCTCTAACTTTCACTTCTATGTTAGAAATGTTTCTCCTTTTATTGAATTTATATTCAATTTTCGTCTTACTTCTCCTTAGGTGAAAGACGTGAGTTTCTAAAGCTTGTCTCCAACCTCTTATGTAAATTCTCCTTTAAATCTTCAAATAGGACTGTATCATCTATAAAAAAACATGCATCTCGGTACTAGCTCGTGGATGCGTTTCGTTAAAATTAAAGTAAAAAGACAAGGGCTTAAGATTAAACCTTGATGTAAATTTATTGTAATAGGAAATCCCTCGTCTCTCCACCATGTGTCTGCACATTAGTCGTTAATCCTTCATACATATCTTGAATAGCTCGAATATATGCAATCCTAACCCTTTTTTTCTCTAGGGATTTCAACAAAATATCTCGAGACATTCTATCACGCGTCTTCTTCAAGTCAATTAAAATTATGTGCAGGTCTTATTAGTTCATTCAATATTACTATATACTTTGAACACCCTCCTGTTGCGAGTACCCCTTTGCTGCAAGAAGTGCCTTGAACTTTCCCCCTTCTTTTTCTGTTACTGCTGATTTTTTCTTGAACACGCACTCATAACCGATGGTCATTTTTTCCTTAGGAAGGTGAACAAGCTCCCATGTCTGATTTTTCTTCAAGGACTAAATCTCATCCACCATTGCACCCATCCTCTTATCTTTCTCATGGTTATCTATAGCATCTCGAAAAGTAGAAGGGTATTCAAAACTAGTAAGAAATGCATAGGCTACAAAGTATTCATACCCATATCTTTATGGTGGCTTGATTGAACGATGTTTTCTCTCACGTACAAGAATATGATCTTGTACTCCACTTGAAACTTTAGGTTTGTGGTCAGTTTCAATATTAGAGTCTGGTTCCTCCTATTGTTCAAGCACTACCTGCAAATTATTCACTAACGGTGGATCAACATCCACCTGAATCACCTGTTTTTTGGAAGTTTCTTCATACATTTATTGCATTTGTCTGCTTCAACATTAACTGCTTATCAACAACAACATCTTTTTTGATTACCATCTTCCTTTTAATAGGATCCCATAACTTGAACCTTTTTATACCTTTTGCTTAACCGACAGAGACACACTTCTTCATCTTTGGATCAATTTTCACTAGATATATGCATATAAGTCGGACACTAAAAAATCCTTAAACTGTCAATATTAATACGATTATATGTCCATACATGCTTTACAACCTTCCCCACCAATGAAGCTTACGGTGACCTGTTGATAAGATAACATGCCATGTTAACTACCTCTGCCCATAAACCTTTTAATAGTCCAACATTTAACAAAAGACATATTGCCCTTTCAGTTAAATACATATTCATTCTCTCTACCATACCATTTTATTGTGGTGTCTTGCAAACGAAAAATTGTCTTTGAATTACATGTTCTTCATAGAACCTTTTGAATTTCAAATTAGTGTACTTGGTCCCATTATCTAACCTCAAATACTTCATTTTTTTGCCTGCTTGATTCTCTACATTTGCCTTCCACAACTTGAATTTGGTAAAGACTTCAGATTTCTGCTTTAAGAAATACACCTAAACCTTACAATAAAAATCATCTGTGAAAGTCACAAAATACCTTAAACCACCATTGGAAACCTCTTTGGTATGCCCTCACACGTCAGAGTGCACAAAGTATAAAATTCCCTTTGTTTTTTGTTTCTCGGTCTTGAACTAAACACGATAATGTTTTCCGAGTATACAATACTTGCACAATTCTAACTTGCAACTACGAACACCCTTCAATAGATTTCTCTTATAAAGTTCCATCATCCCGTGCTCACTGATATGACCCGGACGCATATGCCAGAATTTGGTTGCATCATTATCAGAATCAACTGATGCAACATCACCTACAATAGTGTTCCCTAACAACTTTTAGATGTTACTTGATTCCCTCCTTGCTTTCATCACAATCAATGCAGACTTGCTAACCTTCATAATGTCCATATCTCTATCAGACATATAGGAGAAATCGTTTGCTTGTAGAGTACATAGGGGAATCAAGTTCTTCCTAAATTCTGGAATATATCTGACTTTGTTTAATGTTCGCACAACACCATCATCCATGGGAATTTTAATTTGTCCCATTCTAGTGATAGTACATGCTTTATCATTACTTAGATATACAAATTTAAAATTACCTGACTAGAATGTAGTGAACCATTCACGGTGTGGCGTCATGTAGTAAGAATAACCAGAGTTAAGAATCGCCACATATATGCACTTGTTGGATGAAACACACAATATATCTTATTCACTGCAAGAATCATTAATTTGAACCACATTTGTAGAAAAGGAAATCGTGCTAAGAAGTTTTATTGGACGCTTTTTAAAAGCACGTCCATCCAAGGGCCTGCTCCTTTTCCCTGTCCCCAATTTTATACTTTGTTCTAGGCCGACATAGTGGTGATTCACCTCTCGCGCTTTAGATATGCTAGCTACCAAGAGGGGAGGATGTGAGCCTTAAACACAACTTTGTTTCGTGGTTAGTCGTTTTTATCTTTGTGACTTTGAATGCGGAGTTTTAATTGCATTAGTCATACACACGCGGTGTTTATGACCTCACCCATTAGTCGTGCATATCCTTTTTATCACGAAGAAGAAAATTTGGTGAAAATTTTATTTATTATCATGTCAGAAATATTACATAGTGGTATAAAGTATATTTTACACATGTGAAATATAGACATTTAACCAAGTAACTATGTCGCTACTTATCGATCTATAGGGATCTTAGTACAATGTATCATGATCGGCTTAAGTCTTCATTCACATCCCCTCCTGCACTTATCTATTTAAAATGATTTATGTCATACATGGGTGCTTCGGTCCTTTCCCTAGGTAGACGACCATCATCTCTCCCAATCATTTTCTAAGTAAGGATATGTTGACCTCCATTATGGAAACGACAATACTTCATTTTGTTGGTCTTGGTGGATTCCCTCGCCGGATAAGGTTTTTTTAATTTTGACTTCTTAGATGTTGTTATTTGCATAATCTTGTAGACTTTTCTCCCTTGAAGTTTTCAATGGAGTATAAGAAGAGAACCTGCATGGGGGAGAAGGTGTAAATAAGGACTGGTTCTCTACGCAGGGTACAATCCGGGGATTTATGGACCGCCCTGCATGGGGGAGAAGGTGTAAATAAGGACTGGTTCTCTACGCAGGGTACAATCCGGGGATTTATGGACCGCCCTGCATGGGGGAGAAGGTGTAAATAAGGACTGGTTCTAGTCTAAGTTCCTAATTGTCGCGTGAGTCTAACTTGCATACAAAATGATCCCTTGAAGGAGCATACTGTAAATTTTATTTGGTTCGAAGTAAATTTTGTTGTTGCATCAGGTTATGGACATTGTTAAGTAGATCGCTAGCCCCTTAAATACCTAGATTGACATGCAGCTATTGGAGGCTCTAAAGCATCTCTTGTACGAAAATCTACAGTTACGATGGAGGTTGTTTTGAGGTTTAGCCTTTGAGTGGTTATACCCACAGAATACACCATTATTATGTTCAAGAACCAAAAATAATTTATGACTGGGTGAGATAAAGTTCAGTTGCACTGTAGTGTATTTTCGAAGTGGCAAAGCGAAGTGGATCTGCAAGATTAACACTCGAAAGCTCAAGTTAATGAGAGAACGAGAAGTAGCTAGAATGTGAGAACGAATAGAACGTATGAATCTTGATGCATGCAAATCTTTATATATGGAATATGGGTATAACCACCCCAGATACCCAACGTAAAATCTGAAAACCCTTTGATTAAATTTGACGGTGCGCATTCATCCAAGAGTAAAAATTGGGTGTTAGCTTTTTTATTACGGGACCACTCAATCTTCACTAATTCAGCGTACATGCCTTTAGATCGGACCACCCAATCTTCGTTTCTAAGCCTATGGCAAGCTCGAAACAATATTATTTTGATTAAAAAATTATATCAAATTATAAGTTGTTTTACAATTTTATATCTTTAAATATTTATTATTTTTTTTTTATTATTCTTTTAAAAAAACTCATACATGAATAATAGTTTTGTAAAATCTCTTATTTTTTTAAATCAACCGTGATTATATGCGTAAAAGTATACAAATTATTATAGTTACTTTCATAATTTCTTAAAATCCATTTGTCTATAACTCTTTAAAAACTCGTCAATAGTTGCTTATATTTTGATAGACTTCAACTAACTTTTTTACATAATTATCTTCAACTTAATTTATCATAACTTTTGTGCCATTTAATGGTCTCAATCCTACCTACATAATATTTTCAAAATCTAAAAATAGTATTACTATTAAATATTATTTTCATTAATTTATACATAAATAAAAATAGTGTATTATTCTAGAACACATCCTCAATAATTTAATAGAACACAACTCATTTAAATTTTAACAACAATAATGCTTATACATAATACAAATGTTCATAATAGATTCCAACATTCTTAAATGTGTGTCTAAGAAATACCCCCCATAAGAACAATGACCCACCTAAAAGTCTTATTCCTATATCTAAAGGTCACTACTACAAGTCATTTTCAACAAGTTAGATTCCATGAGAGAGAACAAAAAGGTTTGTGGTAATTGAATAACAAAACAGCAACAAAAAATCAATGCTTTTTCACATTGCCAACAACAAAATTTTGAAGGGTAGATATAGTAAATGTGAATGACTATAAATATTTTGATTGGAGAGACCTTAAAAGGAAAGTGATGTTGTAAGGAACATAACCATGAGCTCTAGGGAATATCAACCGTTGTTGTTGGGGCTTGAGTCACATTCAAACATTGCAGATTTGTCATCAGATGCTATTGAAGAATTCTTGGAACATAAGCCTATTGGATTGAGATGGTGGCTTAAAATTGTTGCTTGGGAGTCAAGGCTCCTGTGGATCCTTTCTGGTGCTTCTATTGTTGTTTACCTTTTCACTTATATGCTAAGTTTTGCTACTTTGATGTTTAGTGGACATTTGGGTTCAGTAGAGCTTGCTGGTGCATCTATAGCTAGTGTCGGAATTCAAGGTCTTGCGTATGGAATTATGGTACGAATACGAATATGATTCTCTTACTATGTATTTTATCACCTAACTATGATTTTTCGATATATTGATGTTTGTCGTTTCGTTGAATAGTTGGGAATGGCGAGTGCGGTGCAAACTGTGTGTGGACAAGCTTATGGAGCGAAAAAATATGCAGCAATGTGCATCACATTGCAAAGAGCGATCATTTTACACTTCGGAGCAGCGGTGATTCTCACGTTTCTCTATTGGTTCTCTGGCGATTTTCTGAAACTCATAGGACAGGTAGATAGCATAGCCTTGCAAGGCCAAGTTTTCGCGCGTGGACTTATTCCTCAACTCTATGCATTTGCATTTAGCTGTCCGATGCAGAGGTTTCTACAAGCGCAGAACATTGTTAACCCTCTGGCGTACATGGTGGTTGGAGTATTCGTTCTTCACGTGCTTCTTAGCTGGCTAGTTGTTTATGTTCTAGACTATGGACTTCTCGGGGCGTCTCTTACTCTCAGCTTTTCTTGGTGGGTGCTTGTTTTGTTAAATGCATTGTACATTGTTCTTAGCCCGAAATGCAGAGAAACTTGGACGGGTTTCAGTATGAGAGCTTTCGTAGGAATTTGGCCTTACTTCAAGCTAACAGTTGCTTCTGCTGTCATGTTATGGTATGACTATATCCTTACTTTTATTCGACGTAGCTCTGAGAATATGTTTAAGATGTGCGGTCGAACACGATCCTATCGAGTTTATATATTCTAAAAAATTGAAATGTATGTTTCTGTAGTCTGGAGATATGGTACAATCAAGGACTAGTACTCATATCAGGGTTGCTTTCTAATCCAACAGTGGCATTGGATTCTATTTCCATTTGGTATGTTAACAATTTCTCTTAGAATAATGTTTCTTATTATTTGCCAACATGTTACTATCTATCTAACAATGATACTTTCATTTTCAGCATGAATTATCTGAACTGGGATATGCAACTTATGTTGGGCCTAGGTACAGCAGCCAGGTTAGTGACAATTGACCGAAAACAATGTTTTTCGTTTAAATAACTTCCACGTAAACATGTTAAATTAGGCTTTTTATGATTGCAGCGTGCGAATAAGCAATGAACTAGGAGCGGCTCATCCGAGAGTAGCAAAATTTTCTGTATATGTAGTGAATGGAAATAGTGTCCTCATTAGCATAGTTCTTTCCGCGATTATGTTGATATTCCGGGTTGGTTTGAGCAAGCTTTTCACTTCTGACACTGATGTCATTGATGAAGTATCTGACTTGACTCCATTGCTTTGCATTTCTGTCCTACTAAATGGCATTCAACCTATACTGTCAGGTAATAAAGTTATAAGCACAAGCACAAGCACCGGTTTCGGTTTTTCCGTAGCTGTGAACCTGATTTCTCCTTTTGTTTGCTGTTTCTTGGAAATTTTCAGGGGTTGCAATTGGAAGTGGATGGCAAGCTTTAGTGGCTTATGTAAACTTGGCTTGTTACTATGGTATTGGTCTTACTGTTGGATGCGTTCTTGGATTTAAAACTTCTTTAGGAGTAGCGGTAAGTTTGAAACGTTTCTGTCATTGATTATATAGTTCTGAAATTTGTAGTACAAAATAATGGAGTTAATGCAGTTTTGGATTCTGTAGGGCATCTGGTGGGGAATGATCCTTGGAGTTCTTATACAGACTGTTACACTGATCATTCTGACTGCAAGAACAAATTGGACTGCAGAGGTAATCAAAACTTTTGGCCTAAACAAGATTTTTCTATTTCATGTTCTGATTAATTGTTTGTCGCGTGGGAAGGTGTGAATCGATCTATGATGTTGTCTGTAGGTTGAAAAGGCTGTTGTTCGCGTCAAGAGGTCTGCTGAAGATGATACCTTGGATCAACTGGTTGCCAATATATAGAGGCGTTTCTCTTGCTGCAACTTTTCTGTGTTGGGGCATGGAAGAACACTTCAGCAGCAGATTAGTCTTGGTTTTGGAGTAGAAGGATATGTTTGGTTTGTTCTTTATAGGACTCAATTAAGCTGAATCAGGAAGTTAGGTTGTTAGAATTTGGGAGGGATACTTGGGAGGCTAGTTGGAGAGTTAAGGAGCGTTAGCTCTGGGATTTCAGGGGTCTTCTTGTAATAGTTTCACCTTCAATCAATAATACTATTTTCTCTTATCTCTTAATTTGAATTCCTATCAATATCAGTTTATTTAGTTCATTGAAAATTAAAATGTTTTTTCTAAGATAATTTCTTCAATGAGAATTCTTCTTAGAGAATGCCCTTACCATACTTGTAAGCAAGATCCTATAAAAAAATTGCATTAAAAAGAGTGCAATACTTGAACTTCAGATATAAAATTTCAAGTTCTGCTGTTTTTAACCAATTGAGATTACACAGAGAAAACACTAGAGTAACAATATTTATAGTAGAATACATAACTAAATGTTCTTTCCAAATTATTACCCAAAAAGTGGTCTTTCCAAACACCTCATGATATTATTCAACCTCTAGGAATCACAAAACTATAGAGAAACAGAGATTGACCAGTCTATTATTCAAAACAACATTGAGGAAAGACAATATAATAAGGGGACAGCATAAGGCATCCAAAAGATCAATAACGTGATATCAGAAGTGGTATGGCTGAACCCTCATCTAACACTGGCTGGAATATGTCTAACTCGCCGTATCTTTCTAGGACACGCATTCTGCAGTCCTCGGCAGCCATTGTTCCAGTAGAGAATGCACCGTGAACAGTACCTGTGTATAATACACTCGTTGCTTCCCCTGCAAAGAATAAGTTATCTACAGGAACCCGCAACCTCTCATACAGACCATGCGGTTTCCCAACTGCGTCATAACTATAAGAACCTAGTGAATTAATATCTGTACCCCACCGAGACACAAGATACTGAATCTGCATAAAGGAAACAAACACACTTAATTCAGTCATATAACTATCATTAGAGAATGTAGGCGCGGGAATTAAATGGAATAAATTTTTAGGATACAGTTGCCTGCAAAACATGGTTCTAGAGATTTTGCTCCTCTAAACTAAAGGATACGCATTATAAAGTAAAATGCTAGTAATGATTTTTCAAAACAATTGTTTCAATCCCCTCACTTTGAACCTCTTGCTTTTATTTCATAATAAAAAATAGTTAAATAAATGATTAAAATTATTTTAATTACCGGTGGAGAAGCATCAGGAAGGATCTTCTTGAGTTGTGTGAAAGCAAAGTCAGCAGCTGCTTCATCAGACATTTTCTCAATGTCTTTGGCCAGCCGCCCAGCAGGCATGTAAACAAGAACAGGGTGATCAGCAGCTTTGTGAAGGTTAAGAAAGTAGCTGCATCCATAAGATGTATCGGCAACAACTCCTAGGAACTCAACATTGGGCCAAAATACATTTTTAAAGTGTAATATTATTTTATTCTCAACTCCAACCCCAATATCAGCAATGGCAGCTTCTTTCCATTCTGGAAGCTTTGGCTCAAATTTTATGATGTTTGCTTTCAGCACTCCAAGGGGTACGGCAATGATAGCAGCATCCGCAACAAATGTTTTCCCATTTTCAGTAGTCACCTTTACTCCATTAAATCGCCTATCTATCTTTGTCACCCTGAAAATAGGTATTATCAATGTCAGCAAGTTTAGCTAACCAACAAAAAAAAAGACTTCCAAAACAAAAATTCAAATTAACATCTACCTGTGTCCTAGACGAATATCAAGACCCTTTGCTAAGGTATGTATAACAGGCAAGTAGCCCCTGACCATAAGTCCATGACCACCAGGGAGCAATTCTTCCTGTACGCAGATATATAGAGACAAGGATAAGTTATAAATAAAAAAGTTAATTACTATAACAAGTTATGTACAAATGTATTGTGAGTAGTGTAACCATATGGAGTCACTTATTAATCTCATTTTTATATCCCTTACATCTAGCATTCTTATATCATTAATAGAAGCCAGTACAGATGGCGTGTCATTAACATTTAACCTAAAATTCATAGCTTACTACTCAATAATTGTGTCTTTCTAAAATGGCACAACAAATCAACAACAAAAACTGAAATGAAAAAACCATGCATGAATACTTGGTCCACTCCACCACCTATAAATGACTTATGCATAATCCATTTCAATTCAAATTCCAATGACAGAAACTTGAAATGGGTGATACAAATATTAGAACCAAAACACGTTGAACTTGGTTTCTTTCAATTACCTGGTCCCAACATTTTAATGATATGGAATCAGCATCGGCAGCAAACCAGCCCTCCATTCGGCACAAATACCATTGAAGCACCTTGTGTGAAAGGCCCTCTAACCTGCATCCAACAGTGAAAATCAAATTATATACACACAAGATGAGCTTCAAAAAAGAGTGGTGGTGAAAGAATTTGAATTAAATGCCAATAATGACCTGAGTTCTGGCTTTCTTTCAAAAACAATTGTAAGTGCTCGTAGAATGGACATGTCTTCACTGTATTCCTGTCTTACATTCTCCGTCTGCATTAACAGTAAGTTGAATCAAACATTTGTGTATTCAATTAGAAATATTGTATTCCTGAAAATCTGAATTCTATAAAAACAACGCACCATATAAATCTAATAAATAGAAATAACAAATGGCATACCTCTTGCAAAATTGTTTCAAAGACTTTACCAACTTCTTTAACCAACTCTTGTGGAACTTGATTTCCATCCATATCAAAGAGTGCATAGCTGTAAAAAAAAATTATGAATTTCAATTAAGAAATTAAGTGCCCAATAATGAAAATTTGGAAGCATGCAATAAAATCTTCAATTAATTACAAAGGCGCATAACTACTACGAAACAATGCATTTACCTTTCCAAATCATGATCATAAAGGACAGAGTTATCCTCACAAGTACGGTAAAGAGGTAGTCCCAGCCTCCCAATCAACGGAGCCAAAGGATTCTCATTACAAACTCCATGCAACCTGAATCATAGTCAGTCACATGAAATGCCATACCAAAATTGTTGCTCCACATGAAAAGAAAAAAAATCAGGACAAAAAGAGTACAATATTTACCATGATGCACCAAGGTCAACAGGAAAACCAAATGAGTAATCAGTGTGAATCCTGCCACCAACTCTATCCCGGGATTCTAAAAGAACAACCTGAACAAAAAAAGTAGTAAACTTCAGTACAATCCTTCTGAATCCAAATAAAGAGCAGATTGGATACAAAAGTATGTATCTCTTCATTAGCAAATTATATGTTTGTTCATCTGTCACCATACGAGAAAGACAATGTGTGGTTTGGTTAGACTAAATAACAACACCAATCCAATTTTAAACCAACAAAGCAACCAAGTCTAACCCAGGATAGCTCACCAGGAACCATAAAATGTTTTTATACAACTATTTTTACCTACAGAATACAGATGAGCCATAAATTTAGCCAAAACAAAACAATTGGTACATAACATTTAGTTCGAAACATCATCAATTGGTAGATACTAATTCCAAACTAAATATATGACTCAGTAAACAAGGGAATTAAGAAAGGTAGTTGTGATATTGAATTTGTTAACAAATAGTATTAGTACTGCTTTTACAATTTCATCTTTCAAGAGAGAGAATTAGTTAAAGTAGGGATATGCTGTTTAAAAAAACTAATTAAGTTGAAATTCAAAAGGTGTCATATAACAAGAGACAAAGAAAGATCCCACAAGGGATCTATATTTAGGGACGAAGGTAGTATAACTAACAAACCCTGCAGTAAAAAGCCAATTTCAGAAAACAACCAATGTATATTGGCACGGCATGTAAACTCTTAACAAACTGAAATTAAGTAAAACGAAGCAGATAACTAGATTATTATTTTGAATACCTGAAAAGAGGCATCATGAAGTGCCCGGGCAGCAGCAATCCCAGCCATGCCACCGCCTATGACAATAACAGACGGCGACCTCACAGACTGCTGGTCAAAATTCGCATAGAAAAAACCTACAGTAGCAGAACACCAACACAAAAAAACTACAAGTCAAAAACAAACACAAGCACATAGATAGAAGCAAAACTTGTTCAAAAGACAAGTTTCTATTGGACACAAAAACACGTCACGTCTCTATTAGAAACACCACCAATACAACTCTTTGCACTCATCACTTAGCAAATGATAACAACCCAATAAGTCATTTAAGTTTCCAAACTCTATCTCGTTTTCAAGCAATAAAAAAATTACAATTATCATAAAAATTCAAAATTTAAGCAATTATACACAATCCTAATACCAGATCTATAATCCAAGCAATATATCATGATTACTACATTGATGCAAGAAATAAAACAACAAAATTTATATATAGAGGGAGAGAGAAATAAACCTTTGCGAGAATTGGGATTCATCTTAATTCGTGACTCCATAGTTTGAAGAATCGAAATTATTACTAATTAGATTACAATTACTATTACTATTACAATTCGATTGAGGTGAAAAATGAAGAATAAAAATCAACAAAGAAGTAACGAAGTTAAACGAATTGAGGTTGGAGAATAAACGCAGTTTTCCAAACCAGCTCATGCAGCTAAATTTGTTGAAATCTCAACAACAAATCACTCTTTTTTTTCTCTTCTCAGCTCGATCGGCGAAGGAACGAGGCGAATTTCGCTTTTGACAGTGGAGATCGGAGCGAGGAGAAGAGGAAATTGGGAACGGAGGAGAATGAAGAAGGGTTTGGTTTAGGGTGGGTATGGTCGGTGTTTGGTTTTTGGTTTTGGAGAAGAAAGAAAAGGAGAGGAAATTGAAAATAATCTTTTGGTGGTTGTGGTGTGGTTATATATAAAGGTGGGATGGGTGGCTAATAACGAATATGGCCATGTGGATAATAAACAAACGCGTTGTATTTTATGGGTAGTTTCGTAATTTTGTTTGTTACTTGTAACTTTAGGTGACGCAACTGGGTCTGTCAATTTTTGTGGGACGCATTTAATATTCCATTATTAATTTATTTTAAATATTTGACTTTTATTTTAACTATTAATAATATTAACGGATGATTGTAATATATTGAAAGTGTAAAATTTTTATATTGACCGTGTATAATAATTAATCTCTTAATTTATAACACATATAAAAACAAAATATTGGTGTTTTATTATGGCCTAATTTATTTACCAATTTAGATTTATTTTTTTTTGAAAAATTGTGTAATTTTGATAATGTTTTGATTTTAAATAATGTAATTTTATGTTATTAGATGTTAAAACTAGTTTTTTAATTTATAAAAATATATTTAAAACAAAACTTTAATATCTTAAAAGAAATTTATAAAAATTATTTTTAAAAATACAAAACAATATTTTTTTTAAAGATAAAACAATGATACCCCTAATCTAATTGATGATGACCCTAACCTAATTGATAATGATAGAAACGTGAGATAGATAGATACCAATTCGAATTTGTAACATTTCATGCATTTATTTTTAAGATGTGAAATTTTAATTATTTTATAAAACTAAAAAATATATATTATGTAAATTAAAAATGATTTAGTATTTGAGTAATATCTGTAAAGAAAAACAAACAAACAAAAATTGTGTCTAACAAGACAATGTATATGTCTAATTCTCGGGCGTGCAGTTTGAGTTTTAAGTAAATATTTTTAAAAAGATAAACACAAAGGGAAATATTAGTCTATTTGTTGCATTAATAAGTTTATTTTTTTAATCAAAATTTTTAATTTGTGATTATGGGCTCATTTGATTCATCTTTTCTTCAAAATAAATTTTACAATATTATATTTTTTATTAAAAAATTTACAAATAAATAAAAGTTTTAAATAAAAAATTAGTTTAAATAATTTTTTATAGACGGTTATTTCAGGTATTTTATCTTTTTATTATAATTTTTTATACATCAAAATTAAAAAAAAAAAAATCAGTCAATTTTAAAATTATTTTGAATAGTTTTTTATGAAAATTATTTTTTGTTACATAGGTTGAAATTTTATTTTACTTTTGACTATATTTTAATTTTTAATAATATATTTATGTTATTGGATGTCAAAATTAATTTTTTATTTTTAAAAATTGAGTTGATTTTTTTTACTATTTTAAAAAGTATTATTGAAGAAGCGTGGCGTGGAAGCTAGAGTGCCGGATGAAAAAATCTTATCTGAAATTCTTTCTTTCAGTTAATTTTCGAGAGTACAAATTATTTAATTGTAGGAGAGTTGAAACATCTCAATTTTTAAATTAAATTATTTTAATTAAGTTTAAATGTCTTACATTATTTTATTTGAGTATTAGAGTGTTTTATTTGATTTATTTGATATTTTTTAGACGTATTAGATTTTTTTAGAATTATCAAAAATATTATAATTAAAATTAATAGATAAATAAAGGAATTTGAGACCTTAGGAGGAAAATATAATTTTAATATTAATAGTGAGGTGAGGAGAGAGTTGCCATGAGTTAGAGAGGGAATGAATGAAATTAATAAAAATTAAATTAAGTTTTTTTGTTTGTTTTAAATATAAAAATAGGGAAAGAAAGTGTTGGTATGTGAAAAATTGTCAACAGAGTTGAGAAATCCTAGTAAAAAAATAGTAGAGTCTCGATAGCTGGAGATTCAAAATATTTTGCTGCAAAATTTGAGGTAGGGGGAATTACTCATTTATGGGTCTATTATGCATATAGGATAGAGATGGATTATAACTCTCTTCCTTGTTATATGTTTTGATTTGATGAGTTTGTGGCGTAATTGATGAAATAAATGATTAATTTGTGTAGTATGATGTGTTAGATGTTATGTAAGTGGTGTATGATGTTGAATTCGTGATGTGAAATGTTTTGGCATGTTACAATATGATTGAATATGGTTTGGGGTGGGTTTTTTTATATAAACAATTTCATTCATTAGATGAAAATGAGAGAGTACAAATATAGAGAAAGAAAATATGTTAGTGCATGTTCCTTTCACAAATTAACAACACTAATAATTAAGTCAAACAAGCTATAGAGATTAAAAAGCTTTGAGAATTTAGAAACCAACAAGAAGTTACCAATCAGAATCTTTAATCCAATCAACCAAGCAAAGTTCTTCCGTAGGAGACAAATGAGTTTTTAAACCTCAATCTTTAAATCTATCTAGTTCCATATCATATCTTTAGCTTTACCGCTAGCTTTATCACACTCAATTCGATTATTAAGGTTCACAATATTGAATAAACTCACAACTTATAGAATAAACAATTGTTGACTGGAATGAGGAGTTTGACTTGCCACATTCCAAGCTAGATTCTTACTAAAAAAACACAACCATTTTAACCAAGCTTCTTTGAGGCATTTCATCAAATACCTTGAGCACAAACTTAAGATAACCTAAACCTAATACCAAGACACCCAACAAAACAAACCAAGTAAAAAACACACAAAACCCACAACAAAACAAGAACAATAATAAAATTATTACATGAACACACACACATAAAGTCATGACCTCCTTATCATCTGGTGGTGGCAGCTCTGGTGGGGGTCGATTTTCATGTCCGTACCACTCTGGACCAACGGTTGGTGGAGATGATTTTGGGGCTACAAGTGATTGATGGTCGATGGCGGAGAGGAGGAAAAGCTTGACGAAAGTTGGAGCAAGAAACATGTGTGGATCTAACATGGATGAGGGTTTCAAAGGAATGAAAAAAGAGGAGGGAAAACTTACAGTGGGGAAGGAACCTCCATTGAAAGGGAGATGACCGCTATAATGGTGGTGATTAGCTCCGATGAGGGAGGAGGAGCCCCTATAAGAGGGGAGGTGACAACCACCAAAAGAGAGAAACTCTAAGTTTAGAGAGAGTGGAGAACTTCTCTCTCTACTTCCTTACCAAGTTAATATGGTTTGGGATGCATGGTTAAAAGATGAAAAATATGAATTTAGAAGTGAGCTTTTTGAAAACATTCTAGGTGACAGTCGATTGGTCCTCTGCTACAATTGATTGGTTCCCTACTTCGAGTAAAAAATGTTGGACAGGAAGTTCAGAACAATCGATTAGTTTCCCCCATACAATCTATGAGTTCTCCTGTTTTTCGTCATAACTTGAGTTCAGTAGCGTTGGGAAGCGGACATGTAGTACTATCTCAAAGATATGCTTTAAAGATCAAATGTGTGCATGAGGATGTGAGTAAGAAATTTAAACGCATAAATGAAATGATTTGATTCAAACATTTGTGAGTAGTTTATGTAAATAATTATACATGTCTCTAACGGTAGACTAGTAGAGACAAGGCAGAAAGTATTAAAAGAAGAATTTGACTTGTTTACCACTTAAAAAAACAACTTAAATAAGAGTACAAAACATCTAGAAAGAATAATAAATTAAATAAAATGAGAAAAATAAATTAGAGAAATGCAAATTTAAATAAAATGAGTAAAATAAATTATAATAATAATAACACACTTTGTAAAATGTTAATTTATTTTTATTATATAAAATTTATTTATGAGAATAAATTAAGAATAAAAATCAAATTTAAATCTCTAAAAAAATATAATTCAAATCTCATAATTTAGAAAATATCAATTAGTATCGCCAACACAAAAAAAAAAAAGTATTTTTTTTTAAACACATAAAATCATAATTCAGTTTGTAATTTTTACAAAAACAAAACTCTCTTATACAATTATAATTTTTAAGAAGAAAATTGTAAATCTTCTCAACTATAATTTTTGAACAGAAAAAATTACAAACCTTTGATCAATAAAAAATAGAAAATTCTCTCAACAAATTATTTTTTAACAGAAAAATGAAAAATTATTCTTAGACACACAACTATTCAAATTTTCAATACATTCAAAAGACTACAATTTGGTTGTTGTGTGGAAAACTAAAACTAACTATCTCAATTTATATTAATATTCAAATTCTATTTTTTCCTACTATACGATGTGAGATTTAGATGAATATACTATTTGACTCAACAATTTGAGAGTTCCTCTTTCAAAAAGTTTATAAAAAAAACTCATAAAAGTTTAATAAAAGTGAGACTCTAAAGAATTTTTTGTAAAACATAGTTTTAAAATGACTATCATTTTATCAAAAAAATCATTTTAAAATGAATAATATTTTTACTTTTCAATATAGAAATAATTGATATTTTTTCAATTATATTCTTTAATTATTATTATATACATTATTTTCAATACATTTATAAGATTAATTTAATAAAAATGAAATAATACCTTATGACAATATTATTATATTCTTTAATCAGTGTACAAAAATATTAAATATAATATTTTAAAACGGAAAAAATAATTAATAGCATTCTATTTTATTAAACTATAAAATAAGAGAAATAAAATCGCCCCAAAAAAAATCAAACTAATCCACCGAAATATAATAATCTCTTATTTTAAGAGTAAT